TATATATATATAAAATTATAAATTACGTCTACTATAATCGCATATTGTAACAGCGACAAATTTGATACCACTTTTGTCATGAAGAAATACGAAGAATTTACTCTTTAATCTTTCCAGGTATTTGCAGTATATCTCTTGCGTCTCTTACATATGTTTTCTCCATTTTCCATTACTCATTCATCCGATAATACTTTCTGAAGTTACTTATTTATCTATTGCTCAATTATTTATCGAACTTCCCATTCTTTCAATTGTATGCGGGTTATCGCTGTGATATCGTGATCCATTGCTAATACCAATGTTTCGTGAACCTTGCTATTCATCTCATCAGGGTAGCGATTATATATTAACTTTTTTCCTAGAAAATGTAAAAATTTTTTGTATATATGTGTGTATGTGTGTATATATAGGTACATGCATATACATGTATAACAATTTTTTCTTTTCATGTTTCCGTTCTAAAGAAAAAATTACATGTTCGCTACCCAAAGCAAGGAACGCACTGATATAGTATCAGTGCGCTCCTCGCCTTGATGAAATGAACGACAAGGTTCACGAAATGTTGGCATTAGCAATGGATCACAACGCATTGATAACTCGTAAATCCTTTAATATCTCTGAAAAAGATACCTGTGAAAACCTCAAAAATATTATTCATATATATAAAAGGGAAAGTTTGGAAAGGGGAAGGGGAAGAAATGGAAAATCCGATAAGAAATTTAATTATGTACATATTTAGTTTTTTACATAATATGTACAGAAATTCTTTTCTTCTCTTCTTTATTTTTCTAAGCCAATTTTTAGCACTCTACAGAAGAATTATATATTACGAATTGAAAATAATATCTGAAAAGCAAATTGGTCTTTAAATATACAAAATATTAGATATTATTCGAAGTCTAATATGTTTGAGAAAATATTGAGTTTACAATGAATTGCAATAATTTCGATAATACATATACGAACATACGATTTTCTGAAAGTCATAAAACTGGCGATATTATGCAATATCAAAGGTTATCAAATTGGATATTTCCACGCTTGGCGTAAATTGTAAATACTATCTTTTGCATACGTAAAATGCTAATGATACTATCTTTTTCATATGTAAAATGCTAATGTTATATCATTTTCTTATTGTCCTGTCATCGCATTTTCGCGCAGCCACTGAATCCTTAAAAAACTTCACACATCACGCGCAACCCATAAACGCGTGGCAATTGAATCCATTTGCCGTGGAATGGTAACAATTCTATTATATATTTGACATCATTCGCACGTCGGTTGTGCCAAGTGTCAACCGAGCATTATGGCAACGCGATTAAACGAACTATTTATATACGTCACTATTATGAGTGTTACAAATCACTGATCTCTGAGTAGACAATTTAGAAATTTATTTTTAGATTTATTTGCTATTATCGGTATTCATTTGTTTCATTGCTTTATTTTGTTACGCATTTTTTTTAATAAGAAAAGGGAATTAGTTTCACTTAGTTTGAAAGCATTGTTAAAAATTATCAGACATTCTAAAACACTTTCTTATTCGTATATATTTTACTTGCTTTTTAGTTTAGAAAATTTTTTTTAAATGCATTATATTAATCATTTTGTTATCGTAGAATTTGCTATTTTTCATGATTGAGCGAATCTTTGGAAGAATACAATATGAACAAGACATGCATTCATGACATTGAAAGCAAATCGCTAAAATAAAGAAATTACGGTCGTAAATTATTTTTCAAAGCGCTCTCATAGAGCTCATCATTTCTTTCGTCATAAAGAACGTCATTCATGACTGACGATGAATGATATCTTTTTACATCATTTTGGTTCAATTTCTATAATTATCGTGATAATTACCATATTTTGATTTTAACGCGACGGTATTTGCTTATCTAAGAAATTAACTCTGACTTGAACTGCTCGAGCTGTACTGGAAATTTCATGAGAATCTGAAAGCGTTCTTAGATACTTCAATAATTTTATCGTACGGCATATTAAATGCAAATCATGCTGAACCGATTTATATGTACGACGCAATAATTTACATATTTATAAATCGTGAGGATTTGATATTTTGATAGATAAAAATTTGCAATAATTCATTTTTTAATAATACTTTTATCGCATAGCGTATTGAACGCAAATATCGCGTTATACCGATTTGTATGACGCAAAAATTTTTACGTAAATTGCAGAGATGTGGTATTAGATAAAAAATCTTACAATTTATTCCGTTTACTTTATATACACTCATGTTTACAATAGTTTGAAATTGCGGAATATGGAGAGGGAAGGGTGCGATAGACAGCGACAATATGATTTGATATTTGTGCTTGTGACTACCACCACCACCATCGTCCATCAAGCGATACGGGGATCAAGGGTGAACTGTCTTCGACTTTAAAAGTTAACTCGCAGTTCTATGCAGGGTAAGACAGACGGCAGTTGCATTTTCAACAGTAATCACACAACTACGAAATGTCCGTCGCGACAGCTGTAAGTTACTTATTATTAACTCGATTTCGTTTCTATAAAATTTCGGAATTCAAGATTTAATAAAATAATATCGCGAAGAACAAGATTTTTTCGAGAAATTTTATTATTATTTTATAAATTTCTTAATTTGTAAATTTTTATCAATTTTATTGTGTCTTTCTGAATTTATTTTTTACACAATTTATATAAAAAACCGATTAATTTAGTAGACATTATTTTTAAACAAATACAACTTTTTATTCGAATTCGCGATTAATGTTATGCAGACACGTTGTGAATTTTATTTTCTTTCTTGTGAAATTCGTTCTATGAATATTATGAAATTGCACGTGAAATGTGCTTGATAATTTTTTCGCGTCTCAAGATATTTTCTATATTTAAAAAAGAGATTAATAATCCACTATTACACAATGCATATCAGTGCTGATCGCGTCACAAATTTATTTACGTCATAAATCTTCTTTTGTAAATAAAGTACTAAATTATATTATTATACTTAAAAAAGCACTTGAGGTTAATGATAATATAAACATTAATAATAATATAAATAAATAAAATTTTGTGTAAATGTGCGGACACAGATACATGTCCGATCACTGAGACATTTGCTATCATATACCTATTTGTAAAGTTTCGATAATCCGTTTCTCTCGTATATATATTAAATAGTAAGCATTGATAGATTTTTCTCCACGATTTTTTATGGACATCTCGTAACTGTCAACAGAAATTATAAATTTGAATATCCTGTGATATATTCTTGAAATAGATTATTAAAACTTTTGGGAGCATCATTTTGGGAGCAAAATCTTATTTGTAAAAAATAAACATTAATTAGCAATTTTATACAATAAATATATTCTGTTCTAAACATAAGTAAACGAATTTTACATATATTCCTGATTTTAGAAGTTAAATTTCTGGACTGTACGAATACTTTTTGAGGAAACAAACAATAGAATTTTTAATTTTTGCTTATTTTTCAGATGATATATTTTGTATAATTAATACACATCTTTTTGGTATATATAATTTTAAGAAATACATACAGTTGTATGTATTTTTTATGAATAAATTGTTAATTAGCCAGCAAAAAATGATCACGTCAATTAAATGAATCGACGTCGAATTGGTTTTGAAATCTCGATTCGACTCATTTCTCACTGGATAATATTTACTTTTTAAAAATAAAGTTTTTTAAAAAATATTTTCTCTGTACGAATACTTTTTGCACTCACTGTATATTATAGTGCCTATTTGTAACAGCGTAGATAAAGAATCATACAAATATCCGAAAAATTTTTTTGTGATTTATTAATTTTTGTACACAGTGAAGATAATTTACGCTATTTACGATATAAAGAATAAATTTTATAAAGGAGCTCATTTTTTGTCCCATCTCATATATTTTATGTGACAAAAAACATTTATCGTTGCAACGTTGCATGATTTTTATAATTCCTTTAATATTCACTTTAATATTCAATTTTCATAATTTTTCATTCTAAGATATTGAATATATTGCGAAGGATATTATTTATTTAATTCTTCACTTGAAGTGTGGAAAATTATAAATATATAAAACATTTTATATAGCTATCTTAATCTAACAAGATAATTCATTAAATTAAGTTCATTAAATTTCTTTAGATGGATAAAAAAATCATCTCGTTAACATTAATATACTCATTTGTTCCGTTTCATTAGTAAAATATAATGAAATGTTCAATACCATAAAACTGAATGATTTTCTATATTTTTTTCATTACGTATTTTTTTTATTCTATATATTACATTTGTTAATTTATAAACGGAAGAAATAACTTTAATAAAAATTAAAATTAAAATGTAGGAATATTCAAAAATAAATTTTTTAAGTGTGGCTATGAAATATAGAAAGTACAATTTTATATATATTATTGTAGAAATATATAATTATAAAATAAATCATACAAGGTATTCCGAAATTCGTGAATAAAAATACTATAGAAAAAAGTATTTTCTATTTTTTCGTTATGCCTAGATTGAGATAGAAAGATTTACACATTTTGAGATAGAAAGATTTAAAATTGAAATTACTATTACGATTAAACGGTTCCCCTTTCGTGAATTGCCACTTGCAATCACTAAAAGTTTATGGCACACAAAAAACGTAAGGCAGTAAGACGTAAGCAGTATACGCGAATCAGTTAATTAAAAATGTAAAGCAATAACGTTAGTAGTAGCAAATCCAAAATGTTGATTTGCTTATTGTTCACGTCTTACTGTTTTTCTGTGTATCATAAGCTCCTAATGATCCATGGGTGGTGACTCAAGGATAGGCAGTCGTTTAACCATAATATATAACCTAGTTTTAAAATAATCTATAATTAGAGCTAGTTTTTAAACGTTTATATTTCAAAAAACTATTATTTGGAACGAAAAACTGTAAATACATTTTTAAATTATTTTTAACTTATTTTTGAGAATTTTTTTGCTATATATATTTTCATTTGCTAATTTCGGTACACTGTATCTACAATAATACATATTCTGTATAATTACTGTTTAATACATATTCTGTATAATAATAATTCTGTGCCAATTTCTTCGTGTTATAATTTCTGCAATGAAAAAGAGTTATACGAAATATAATAACTGCAATAATTTTCCAAATAAAAAAATTTATTAATAGGAAATAATTAAAGAGAGAATTGCATTATGGATAATTACATAATTAATTTTTCAACAGAAACAAATCCGTGATTATACGATGCTGCTGGACCCATCGGAGCAGCTTCGGCCTGAACCAATATACGCCGGAAAACTGCAAAGTGAATTCCGTAATTTCAATGAAGAGTCTGAAGATCCTATCAAGCAACGCGTTCGCAAAACATACGAACTGATGCACACCAATCAAACCGTCGAATTCGTGAAATGTCAGTCAAAATGAAAGATTATAATTCCTAATTATTATATTTTACGTTTCAATTGCTTTCGTGGCCTTTAGTGATAAAAGAATAAAGAATTAGATAGGATAGATAATACATAGATTAATAAATGAAAGTCCCCCAATTTGAACGATTAAATTTATATCTTATTTGTTTGTCTGTTCCAAATACAGTTAGAAAGGCAACGATAAGATAGGAGTGGCAAAATCGCTGTTCTTTTTGTAGCTCGCATGAAAGATTGGCTTCGGTTTAATAAATTCAAAATGACGGTGAAAGACGCCCTGCTTAAACTGAACGATCTCGTGGATGAAAGCGATCCGGACACGAGCCTACCAAATATTGTCCACGCGTTCCAAACAGCAGAATCCATCAGAGAGAAGCATCCGGACAAGGGCTGGTTCCACCTCACTGGCTTAATTCACGATCTTGGCAAAGTGAGATGAAATATAAAGCTTTATAAAAATATGTTATAATGAACTCATTACAATTTACACTTTAAAATATTAAAAAATATATTATAATATTTTGATATAAATATTTTTTAAAAAGACTTTAGGAGAAATTATGACCTTAAGGAGATAGTAATAATTGAAATAATAATAAAAGGAAAGTAATTGAAAAGAAATTGAATAAAAAAAAAACAAAAAAACCAAAACAAAGAAAAGAAGAATAGTCTTAGGAATTAAAAAAATAATGGATTGTTTTCAGTAAAATATTATAAGAAAAATATTTAAATAACGTAACAACATTTTTAACGTAACAATTTAAATAATAATATAATATTCTATCTTTTCATATTTGACTTTTAAAAAATTTCGCTTACAGCGCGCTAATAGCATTCCCTTTGACAAATTTCTAGATTCGCCAATGTTAAGAAACATGATTGTACATTGCAGGTGATGGCATTTTACGGAGAACCCCAGTGGGCGGTAGTTGGTGACACATTCCCTGTCGGTTGTGCCTGGGGTGATTCCATCGTCTACAGAGCGACGAGCTTTGATAATAATCCTGATGGCAAAGATTCTCGTTACAAGTATGTCCCAGTTAATTAGTTTCTCGCTTAATAATAATGGAAATTTCATTATTAACAAGAGATATTATTTGTATGTATAATATGAAAAGATTTGATATAAACAGAACATTATTCAAAGTATTACTCGTATATTTACGAGGAAGGAAAACACGTCATTTATAAACGCAGAGTGTTCTAAGAAAAATTCTAATGCCAAACATTGATCGTAAAATTTATAATTTTTTTATAAAACTGCGAAGCGTAAAGACAATCTGAATATATTTGAATTAAGCAATTGTAAAAATATTGCGCTACATCGGGAATATTTATGTTACAGCACAAAATGCGGTATGTACAAACCTAAGTGTGGAATATCCAATCTGATGATGTCATGGGGCCATGACGAGTACTTGTACCGCTTACTCGTGCACAACAAGAGTAAATTACCGAAGGAAGCTTTAGCTATGATCCGTTATCACTCCTTTTACCCTTGGCACGCCGGTGGCGACTACATGCACTTCTGCACTTCAGAAGACATCGAGATGTTGAAATGGGTGATGGAATTTAAGTAAGTCAGGAAATATCAAATATATTTTAAATGCAATAAAATATAAAGGAAATAAAAAGTTACGAAAGTTAAAAAGTAATTAAATCACATTACTATGGTTCTATTAAATTAAATTACAGATTATAATTTCTCTGGCAGAAAAGCTTTCATGAAAAACTACATAGATTAGGACAAGAGCTTAGAAATTATTAATTTTTTTTGTGTGGGAACATAGAGTTGTTTCTTTGAAAAATCTAGAAATCCTCTGCTCTCAAACAACGTCATTCTACGTCCCACTATGAATATCTACGAAAAATTAAGAATTTCTAAGATCTTATTTCAATCTATGTAGCTTTTCTGCAATTTTTCGTACAAATTTTTTTTGACAGGATTATTATATCAAACATCATAAATTGTAATAAGAATTGTCTAATAATAAAATTTAAATATAAATTTCATTAAATTAAAATTGAACTTGAAAAGATACATTTCATTGGTGATTAATTTGACACAAAAAATGTTACAGCAAATTTGATCTTTACACCAAGAGTGACTCCGTCCCGGACATTGAAAAACTATGGCCTTACTACGAGAAATTGATTGACGAATACATTCCTGGTTTGATTGAGTGGTGATCCTAGTATATGTATTCGTATTTTTTCATGATTGTGCAAGTAATATGAATTTACTTTATTTCTAGACATATGTATATACAAGAATTTTATAATTTTAACAAGGAATCTATATTACATGTATAAAAATATATATATATAATATATATATATATACAATGATATAATGATTTTTAATAATAAATAAAT